ATTGTAAATCACACTGTTATTTTAAATGATGGAGCCCCAGCCCCTGTCAGGCTGGGCCTCGTCTCTTCATGCCAGCGGGTCTTCTGAGAAGGGTTAGGGAGTGAGGAGGATTAGCTGAGGTAGGGGGGTTGGGGAGTGCTTTAGCTCGGGTAGGGTGAGGAAGGTCCGGGTTATGCTGGGTGGGGTGAAGAGGGTTTGCATTAGTCTCAGACGGCTCCTCATGGCTACTGAGCGTTTCATGCAACCTCGATTTATCCAGCTGTTGCCTTGGACTCCCGATAAGAGATTATTCCTTGTCGTCATTGCATCCTGAGTTACTTAAATATTTACAACCCCTTTGTCAGTTGCCACATATTTTTTCCTCCACGAGAAGGCGTAAAAACAGCACTGTAAGCAATTCCACGCAGAAATAAAAAGCTGTTAAGTTTAGTGTGTCTGTGCGCGCCTGTTAATCATTTTCCCAGTCGAGAAGGCGGCTGACCAAGCTGGTCACATGACCCGGCCCTCAAGGCCTGCAGGTGATGTCATCTTGGTGTCTGTGGGTATTGGGGTACCATCCTGGGCGCTCCATCTGAAATTTAAGCATAAAGCTGAAACCCTCTGATAAGCTGTGGGTGAGTCCAACAGCTAAACAAAATGGTATTCTCTGGGTACGTGAGACCTTTAGTGCTGACTGCTGATTTTCGGTATTTTTTGAGGAGCTGGACACTCAGAGCGACTCCCCTGGGACTGACATTAGACGGAGAGCTCCAAGCAGCCCCCACCATAACGTACCATGGTCTTCAGGGGGTGCCGAGCCGCCCATTTCACCCACCCTCCTCCAACCAGTTAAGATGAACATAATGGTCCCATTAGCCATGTTGGCTGTGAGCTGGAGTCACTCATGGGAGCGTGCCGTCGTCATCCAGGAGAGCATGGGACGCCAACGTCCTCTGTGGGCACGCGGGACGCCATCGTCGTCCTGGAGCTCAAGCACCGTCATCGACCGGGAGCGCGCCCTGCCGCTGCCGTCCGTGCGGCTGATCAGAAGCTACTCTTTTCGCCTTCTCTCCCTCTCCCTGCCCCATCCTCAGCCCCCAGCCCGCATTCTGCCAGGGGGGCCCATCTCACTGACAGTTCTCACCACCAAGGTCACTTACGGCTATAAGGTTATGTTTAGTTTCCTCTTTCTCTTTCTTTTAGCAGTCTGAGATAGAAACTCTTCCTCTCTCCCTCCCTCTCCTTCTCCCGCTCTCCCTCTGTCTCTCTCTCTCTCCCTCCCTCTCCTTCTCCCTCTCTCCCTCTGTCTCTCGCTCTCTCCCTCTCTCTTCGCTCCCTCTCCGTCATCCTCTCTCCCTTTCCCTCCCTCTCTCTCTTCCTCTCTCCCTCCCGCTCTCCTTCTCTGGGTTCTGACTGGCAGCCAATGACGGCCCGCGTTTGGCCTGGTACGCTGAGGGTGGAGCGTCCACGGGCTCGGCTGCTCCCCAACGCCTGCCCGCGTCCATCTGTCGGGGGCGCTGCCGCACCCAGGCTCTGCCCTGCCTTATGAATTATTCCCGAAGCCTCCCGCTGTCTGGTGCCCCCTCCCCCCGAAGACGCGTGACGATGTCTCCATCGTCCAGGGACTGACCGAGGTTGAGCCAGCTGCTGCTCTCCAGTTGTGTGACCCGATCCTCATAGATAGTCACTTCTTGAGAGTTTGGGTCCCCCCGGCTCTCTGGAGACCAGGTGCATGTGTGCGTGTGTGTGCATGTGCACGTGTGTTTGTGTGTCTGGTGTGTGTGTGCATGTGTGTGCGCATTCCGACAGCTCGCTCCAGATTGTTGGAGTCTCTGTTCATGAACACTGGGTAGTGGCTGAATAATGGCAAACTGGCATCTAGAGTTGTGTCTGTGCAGGAGGTGACTGGCTGCAGTCAAGAAACATGAGAAGGAACATTTGGGAATCTGCAGCGCAGCGGGTCTGACCTGACTCCCTCCAGGGGGCGCCCTCGAGACCTAAGCTTTGCTTGAAGAATATAATAACTTCTGGGTTGGATTAGCCACTATTTTTAGGGATTTGTGCTGTGATTAATTAAAACGTTGGGCTCTCGTGACGATATCGACGGGATTCAGCTAACGACGGCGGATGTCGGCAGCTCTGTGTCAGCTAATCACAGAAGTACTTCATTCATTTAATTAAATATCCCAGATATCTCTGTACGGGTATTAAGTTCCTCCTCTCATGTTCCTGGAACAAAACGCTGCACTGTATTAAAGACCGCACCCCCCCAGAATGGTGCACTTTGTAGTGTGCAGTGTTGTTTATGTTATAAAGCTCTGGCTTTTACTGTTATGAATGACGTCGGCTTCATCTTTAACCAGAATTTATAATGATAAACTAGGCCTGTCTTCTGGTGAGAAGTTCACTCCTGCCCCCTCGGTGTCTCTCCCTCTCCTTCCTGCCCCCTCGGTGTCTCTCCCTCTCCTTCCTGCCCCCTCGGTGTCTCTCCCTCTCCTTCCTGCCCCCTCGGTGTCTCTCCCTCTCCTTTTAGCCCCCTCCTGTCTCTCTGCTTCCTGCCCCCTCGGTGTCGCTCCCTCTCCCTCTCACCCCCCCAGTGTCTCTCCTTCTCCTTTCTGCTCCCTGGCTGTCTCGCCCCTTCGACACTCCTACACCTCTGTGTGTCAGAGCTGCACCAGCTGCTTGATCAACCTCTCCCTTCCTGTTGATGTAGATAAACCAAGGGGAGGAGTCACAGGTGACAGCTTTGTCCTGAAGGTGTATCAGTACGTCAGGGCGATTGAGTCTAAAGGGGGGGAGGGGGTCGAATCTCAGTCAGTGTATTGAATAAAAGCTGTGGAATGATTAGCCAAACACTCATCATGTGGTTTCCAGAAGGTTTATTTATACGGGCAAACGGCAGGCGTCCCAGTAAAAGATGTTGTACCCCAGTAAAAGGTGTTATGTCCCAGTAAAAGGTGCCGTACCCCAGTAGCTGACATCAGGTGCCTTTAGGCGACACAGACACACGTGTTTCTGAATGTTTCATCCGTGTTGCAGGGCAAACGGGGACAAACCCGTGTTGGCTGAGCACGTATCCACAGGGGGCAAAATTGTCCACAGCTTTTTGAAATCGAAAACTCAATCAAACTCTAACAACAAAAAAAATAAATCCCACTGCACTGCTGTCGTTCAGGTTGGCTTCTTTGGACCAAGGGGATCTGTCAGGAGATATTAGGAGAGATTTGGCAGATGCGATCGCGGTATTGAGCCCTCCCCCACTTTTTCTGTGCTCGCTCTAACAAAGAGCTTGTCAGGAGCATTTCTGATATGCGTCTCACAAGTTTGTTTGTTCTGCCTGCATTGAAATCGACACCTGAGCCATGGAAGGAGTGGGAGGGGCCGCTACCACACTCTCACGCCAAGGAGCCCAGAGACACGCGGGCGCAGCCGCCGTGGGTCACCCAAACACTCATTTTCAGCCAGTAGGGTTTGTGTGTTAAGATTATTCTCCTCTGCTACATTAAGCATTTAATTCCTAAGTTATGGTTAGTGATTAGCAGCAGGTAATTGTGTGGATCATGTGTCGTGAACAGATTCCAGTATCTGCTATTTTTAACACATTTAAGCTGCCAGCTTATTCCTAGATGGCATTTACAGAAGAAGAAGCCTGTATGTCCAGGCTGAGGATTTTTTTAGCGCTGTGAGGCTTTTTGGGCTTGTATCAGTCTCCATGTTTTTGCAGTGAATGTACTGCTTTGCTGCCACCGGGGGCGCTGCTCGCTGCTGTATTTACTCTAAATCGGGAAGTTCCTGTGATTTCTTCTGGGAACAGCTTGGACTGCGCTGAGGTCATCGCGGCCTCGCGGCGGGGCCCCGCATGCGCGTCTGCGTGAGCGGGTCCCGTTCCAGGTGCGTGATTTCCTGCGATGGGCTGTTGTCGGCTGTCAGCCCTGGCAGCGGCCAGTGCCGTCGCTCTGGAGTCGCCCTGTTACCGTGGGAACCTGGAGCACTCTCCCGGCCACTGGAGCGCCTTTGGCCGGGACAGCGTTGGCGTCACGGGGACTGTGCTGTGCTGGGGCCAACACCGGGCCCCAGGGTGTGGGATGTGTCCCTCCGGCCCCCAGAGCCGCCGGGCAGCCTGGGTTTCTGACAGATGTTCTTTTCTGACAGATGTTTCTAGTCTGGTTTGCCTGAGGAACTCCTGCCACGATTCTCCTCAGTCTTGTATTGGACCAGCGCTGGGGCTCTGGACTTCGAGGTTCGGTAGCTGTGAACGTGAGCTGTACAGCACACGCCAGTCACTACTGTGATGTGGGCTAGAGCCTGTGCTCCAGAGGAGGGTGACCTCACTGTCACCATGGTGATGCTCAGGCTTTGAAAAGGCTCTTACAACTGAGGGTGGCCTCCGCATATGTCGCCCCTGGGTACATGGCCTCTGGATCCTTGGGCTCTGGGTACGTGGCGTCCCAACTGTGGTCCCCAGTTACGTGGCATCCTGACTGCACGCCCTGGGTACGTGGCATCCCGACTGGGCCCCGGGTACGTGGCATCCCGACTGGGCCCCGGGTACGTGGCATCCCGACTGGGCCCCGGGTACGTGGCATCCCGACTGAGCCCCCGGTACGTGGCCCCTGTATAGGTGCCTTTACTTCAGGCCACCGTGGCCTCAGGCCCCTTACAGGCCGCTCCTCCCTGGGGCTGTCAGGCCGCCTGAGCCGCAGTTTGGGTGGTCCTGTAGGTTCAGGGGGTGGGGCCGGGAATCAACACCCCCTTCTGCTCCCCTTTCACTGTCATTGTCCTGCTTTTGAGGTGTGGGGGGTAGTTGTGATACCCTGAACGCTGATGTTCCCCTTCTGGAAGCTTCTTTTTGTTCTGTTTCATCTCTGCCAAGCTCTTTTGAGGGAGAATATGCCTGTTTGCTTGATCGATGTCTCCCTGGGGCTTATTAAGGCCTGTGCTGTTTCCTTATTGTTATTAATAATCTTCCTGAAGGCTGGCCTTCCAGCTGCGCCCCCATCCCGCCCCCCTGCCCCACTGACGTCAGCCTATGATCGTCTGAGAGCGGCAGTGACAAGAGGGACCCGGAGGAGCCGTGCCGACCAGGAAGATGGTGCCTAGCTGCCGCCCGCCGGCGCTCGCGCTGCTGCTGCTGCTGGGTCACATGACGCCCTCGTGTCGCGCAGATAGTGAGTACCACCCCCTCTCGTTCTGATGCCCCTCATCCCAGTTCGTGAGCCCGTAACCGACTGCGGCAGCTCTGGGAGAGAAACCGCTGTATCTGTGTGTAAGCCACTTAACAACAACAATAATAACAATATATGAGGTTGGATGCATTTGCCAAGCGGCTGCATTTCGCAGACCAGTGTCGCTGCAGGATCAGTCAGCCTCTGTTTGCACGCGTTCCTCGCTCCTGTTCCTTATCGGCGAGAGAAATTCAACACAAACCTTAACGTGGAATGTATGGCTTCATCCACATATCTTTTTCTCTTCCAAAAACTTGGGGAAAAAATAATTCACTGCTTCAGTCCAAAACCACTGAAGTGGTCTTCAGAAGGAGAAGATGAGAAGCTCCAGTGGGGTGCAGTGAGGGAGGGGTGAGTCGGGGATGCGTTTGATTACCCTGCACGATCCGGTGGGTCTGGTTCCCATCGATCCCATTAGAAACCCCACTGAGCCGCCTCTGCCTGACCGGTGGTAAACCTTCATCTCTGGCTGCCGTGATCGGCACGCTCTTGGAGCGAGGGTGTCCTTGCAGGGTTTATTTACATCTCCTGGTTCTCCCGGCTTGGCTATGTTGCTTAGAGCCTTTGATCTTCAGGTGACTTCCTTCCCTGTCCTACTTCTTAAACCACCTCCGTCTTTTTATTTTGGAAGAGGAGATCTTCATCATACGTTGGAGATCTTGCCAGATGGGAGTGAGATATCAGTCGCAGATCATCCCAGAGCCAAAAAATACCCCCCACCCCCATCTGGACCTCCATCCATCCAAATATTTCATTTATGTCCCCAAAGACCCAAAAATATATTGAATAACTTTTAATTTTTCAGTTGCTATGTGACCGACTGAAGGAGTATCTGAGTCCCTGTGCGAGATAAAGGATCTGCTGATGGATCTGCTGATGGATCTGCAGACCGAAAAGCATGAGAAGTTGCTGTTAAGCTTGGTTTCACTTGTTGTCCGTCGGTGGTGTTTAGTGTCGTTTGGCAGCGTTTGATGTTGTTTGGCTCCAGCTGAAGCCTCAGGCTTCCGTCTGCTCACTGAGTTCAGGTTTTACACCAAATTGTCCTTCTCCTGCTCTGGGATCTTTATTCATGAGCTGAGTGCTGTGAGAGGAAACATAAAAATCATCAGTCAAGTTAAGCGGAGAGCAGACTTTCAACCGGACTTCTATCGGACTGAACGTTAACGCTTCTGTAGCCTGATCTGTATTTACCTCCAGCGTTGTTCTCCTTGGAACGGGCTGAACTTCACCCCGCTTGGGGTAATTGGGCACTGATGCCTGTCCGTGTCCCCCTGTGCCCCAGCCAGCCGCTGTGTGTGTGGTCACCTGTTCTCCTGATGTTAGGCCCCATGGCTTGGGGTATTTCCCCTTCGGCTCAGGGCTCAGTTTGATCACTGAAAGATGAGGATGAGAAGGTCAGGTTCACGTTTAGTAACCGAGACGCTTCCTCACATCTGAACCAAAGTCTGAAGCCGCTGATGAATCACCGTCACTGAAGTCTGAGCCCCAGGAAGTATGTCTGTATGTATTTATACAGTGACGTCAGTGTTTGCTGATGTGATTACTGTGAAATGACAGGTAAATGTGTGTAATTGTGGGAGATGGTGCCCTGATTAGGGGATTAAGGGACAGTATCCACATCGAGTAATATTAGATTTGTATATCTCGTCATGCAGGGTTATTCTGTCATTTAATGTTTATGGCCTCAGACGGTGACTTCATCACTTACGCTAAGGATTGTCGGACACAGAGGTTTGCTGTTACTGTCCAACAGTAAATTAAGATGAAAGCCAGCGATGTCATGGGGGTTGGGGGTTAATTTGAGCCCCCGCCATAGCTTAGCGGCCCTTCTCTGTCTGGCTGTCAGTCTCCACACAAAGAGGTGGGTGTGTATCACAGTGTATCACCCCCATGGGCTTTGGTTCAGTCACATGACCGCCAGTTGGGCTCCTTCACCAGCCGACCTCGTTTTTGCTTTGTAGACTGGATGGTAACCTCAAGCCTGCTGTGATCTCCACACCAGCTGTGTGCTGTGGAGACCAAGGGGCCGTTAGTGATGTTCTCCGGTGTAAGACTATAGGAAGCCAGAAACCTGTCACGTCTAGCTGGTGAGGCTCTCTCTGGCTTCCTCTGGGTGGTCCCGCTCACAGAAAGTGCCCCCCCCCCCCTTAACTCCGTTAGCTACAGTGGAACCTGATCAAATGGATCACCTGTAGACAAGGTGAAGCACAACAGCCGTGCCCATCGGGCCACAAAAATTGCCTTACCAGCAAACGGAAGGTGACCCGGTTCTGCGGCGCGGCTGATTTTTAAATCCTGCCTGGCTGACTGGGGTTTTCTGAGGAACGTTCTGGCCCTCCTCCTTCCGGCTAGCCCTCTGCCGGCGCCTCATCGCCGCTCGCTCTTCCACTCCTGGGACGAGGCACAGAGTGGTTTTCCGTCGGCATCTTCTGCCCAAGCCGGTCTCGGTGGGATTACGGGAAAGTCCACGTTAATTGAATCTAACCACATTAAAGTTGCTCGTCAAGTTGTGGGCGGGACCTAATCCCCGAAATCACAGGAGCACTGCACGCGGGTCCCCTGGATTTAGGACGGCCGCTTAGTCCAAATCAAACCGTCACAATGGTGTCGGCTTAGCGAGTTCTGAGGATCCACGATAGTCTCACTGTAATGGGAATAAAAGGGGAGCAGGAGTGTGGTGGGGGGAGCATGAGAGTAAGGNCTCTGTGCCATGACTCCTGGTACAAGTGTCACACAAACTGATAATATATAATATTAACCAGAGATACTGTGATGCTGAAAATGTGAATTCAGTTGGTTGTTTTCCCCACAGGTGCTGACAGTGTGTCCTCAGTGGGATCGGTGTCTGTACAGAGTGGAGGATCTGTCACCATCCCATGTTTCTATGAAGAGAGATATAAAACACATGTGAAATACTGGTGCAGAGAGGATTATTCTTCGGATCCATGTTCTCCCATAGTACGCAGTGACTCTCCACAGAAGAAGGATGAAGTGTCAGTCAGAAATGAAGGACATTAGAACAAACAATGGAGAAAATATGTTAATGTACAACAGGGACCAAATTTTAGTTTTGATACACACCATCAATGAAACCAGGGAGAAGTAACAGTAAATGGGCTACTGCAGGGGGTTAGATATGAGTAGAAATATTTTTAAAAATGTCAGTTGGTTTGAATTTTAAGTAGAAATCTTGTAGAAAAAGAAAATTATAAATAAACATTCTGTAAAAGAGCAGCTGTAAAAGCACTTTACAGAAGCAATGGGGAGCCGCTTCAACCACCACCACTGTGTACCTGGATGATGCATCAGCTGTGATGCTAAGATGATTGGTGGGGGGGGCATAACAGTATTTTTAGGGAGTGGGGTGTTAGGATAGGTTAATGACGTGAGATTAATGGCTTAATTAGGTCTCTCGGCAGCATTGCTGCAGGGAATCATCGTGGTCCAGTTAAATCGAGGTGGGGGGGTATAACCATAAATAAATGGGTCTCTGCTCAGGCGTGTGTCGTGAGTAAATGTTCAGCGTCCCCCCTCGCTGGCAGAGCAGCGGTATCACCCGGGCGATCCGCGCCGGCTCTCGCCTAGAGGCTGTCACGCCTGATTGTGGTGCCTTCTCAGCGATCCGTGACATGCGGGCCATCGGTATCTCGCCCAGCAGCCACCGTGACTCATGGGAAATGAGTGTCTCCGTTTGGGCCGATCTCTTACCGAGAACGCGTCCCTCCCGCCCCCTCTTCGGCCGAGAGAATCAAAGCCCTCAAACACAAAGCCGGTACCCCGCCGCCCCTCCCCGTCAGACCCCCCCCTCCCCCTAAGCACCCCGCTTAATTTACGCCGCTGCATCGCCTTCCTCCGGCGGGAGAGAGCGAGGACGGCTTAATTATCCGCGGCAGATGTGGCGTTCATCAGCGGGAAAGGTGTCAGCCACAAATAAAGCTGCAGACTCGAAAAGGCGTGAAAGCAGCCCCCCCCCCCCCCAGAGCAGCGCTGGGACCGTAAAGCTTTTACACACATGAATATTTTATGCCCTTAAACAAAACAAGGGTCCACAGTCCCTTAGGCCATTAGACATCTGTTGACTCCCACGGCAGAAACACGGCCGTTCCTGTCTGCTGTGGCAGGTTGCAGCCACTCTGTCTGCTGATTTGTCAATCACTTAACCGGTCCAGGACCCTGCCCATGACCTGCAGTACCGCGGGCCGACACAGGGGGCAGCCTTCATGAGCTAAAATTCATAATTTTAAAAATTACAAGTGTGTGCCGAAAATGGATGCGTTGGATCCCTGCGTTGTCAGGGCATGTAACGTGGTTAATTCACGTGGCACCAAACTCGGGGACCTTCAGCTGGACATGTACGGCTTTTCGGCATTTCGGACATGGTTAAATACAGGGCGAGATTTCATTTCAGTGTAATCGGTGTAGCCGTGGGCTGGAACATAACGACCGACCAATGACCAGCCTCCAAGCTTGTAGCTTGACGAAGGCTATATTTGAATTCGCCCCCCCAATCTCCCTTGCTCCTTAAGTTAAAGCCGTTGTGAAACCTGTATGCGTTCAGAAAGTGAGCATAACTATCTATGTATTTAATTATTAACACTAAAAACAACACTCACTTCACACTGAAAAGTGTTAAAGGTAACACTGAATGGTGTGAACACATATAGACACCATGCAGTGTTAATTTAACACTGGCACATTTGCTGTGTGGAACCCCCCCACCGCATACTTACCCTCTAATTGAATTGTATTTTTGCCCCATGGGGATTTCCGTGGGGAGGATGAGAGGGTAAAGGGGTGTAGGAATTATTAGCTCAGGTAATTTTTAATATCTCAACCAATATGTTTGAAATTAATTAAAGTTTAATTAATTATTATTTAATGCTGATTATTAACCAATCGTTATGCCGAATGGTCGGCTCCTCCAAACTCAATTGCGGTATCCC